ACAATTCACCTCGAGCATCGATCTCCGCATGGGCCGATTTTCATTGCTACAACTAATAATGGAATGCGTTAAACAATAATAATAATTAGATGTTGGTGAAGATGGCTTTGTGTAGTGTCCCATGTAAGTGCACCCAAAAGACAAAGATCCCCTGTATAGCTTTCACAGACTGTTGGGTCAAGTGCTGTTTGTGAGCAGCTATGAAGGCCGGAGCGGCACACGAGGGGGTCTCCGGGTTTGTAGCGCAGCGTAGCGCTAACCGCTACCCCCCCGCCTCCCGCAATCTGCGGTGAGTTTGTCGACACTGGATTCTCAGCAGAGTTGTTTCTGGATCAGGTGACCAGCACTCAGTCGCAAGAGCCCTTGCATTGCCGTGCATTAACCAAACATCTGCAGGCATTGTCACTTCCTCCAAGTGTCGTTCAATGTATTCTTTCGTTTCGCGTTTGTTTTTGTTCCAAACAGCCAATTTGAATAAGTCGAAGAGCCTGCCTTGCAGAGGTGAGCAACGGGGCAGCGCTGATCTCTCTTGGCAGCCCTGAAACCGTTGGTGGAAATTCCACATTCATATGGCCGGGAGACATATCTTTCCACATATTGGTACACGTGTAGTTTCGTGCTACAGACACTATCCGAGGTCACTTGTATTTTAATTATCACGGGTCATGTTCCGTCCACTGCTGAATGAATCTCAATCGCCTTCCGGTGTGTTTTCCGGCTAGACCGGGTTCGGTTGGCACAATTTCCGACGTTTTTGCTGCTGCACGTTCTGGGAGGGAGTTTCTCGAGTGTCGATTTTTAATTTCAGTTCCTGAAGAAGCTCTCAACACGCGCTGCTGCTGCTGCCACACGTGACACACACACACACACCGTGCCGAACGAAGCGCAGTACGACACCCGTGTCAACACATCGGAGAAGCTGCGCCGCACAACCGGGAAAAAAAAACACACCTGGGCAAAGTAAACTCAATGTTGCCACAACAGATTCTGGCTACATTTCTATTAAGTTACCGTAAAAAAATGTGTTTTATTGCTCTCAGTCAGTGCCACTCACGGCCGAGTGAATAACAGTCACGGCTCCTCTACGAAGATGCAATTATCCCGTCAAAGTCCATCATATATCCTGCACGGGGTGATGAGAACACGGACTGACAGTCTCGACTAAGAGAAGCCACCGATGATTATCGCTACCGGGGAAAAAATTGGTTCCCTTTGTGCAGGGATGTCAATGGTCGATGTTCTGCGTGAAATACAATTTGCCTCTTTGATGCTTCTAAATGTAGTCAATGAATGGCTCTGTTGTGAGAATGTTTCTATAGCGGATAGCGCAGACTGTTTGCAAAAAAAGTCAAATGCAATCAAATCTGCAATTATAAAGTTTCGAATGCAATTGCATTTCAAGCCTCTGGAATTTGCAAGGTGGCCAGGTACAAGAAGAGACGTTTATTGTGATTAACATTTGGTATTCGTGCCATTCTTAAGGCACGGGGCTATCACGAAGATGATATGTTTCACAGATGAGTACAATGTTGACTCGGGGACGAAATTGCTTCGTGTTTTTACCCAAATAATTGCATATATATTGCTGTTTAATTTGGTAAATTTAGATCAGTGGTTCTTCTTAACCTGTAGTGCATCACACAACCCTGGGGGTGCGTGATGCCCTTTCTGGGGGTGCGAGAAATGGCAGATTTTTTTCGAAGGTAAATCATCGACAGACAAATTAAGCACGGGCACGTTAGTACAACTACTTTGTTTCAGCAAACCTATGTCTTTATTAACATTATACATGTTTTTTTTTTAAGATTGCGAACCAAACGGGCGCAAGGCTGCTGTAAAGGTTAAGAACCACTGATTTAGACGATGACTCAGCAAACAGACTGCCTACTCCTTTTCAAATAACGCCACATGATTGTTAACATCCACCGTGGAGCAGACGGCGCGGAGTATATTCACGGTAAATACGGTGGCAGGATTAATCGGGGCGGCCTCTGGGCTCAGACCGAGAGCCTTCGCAAAACGCTACCACTTAGCACCGGCTGCGTATAACACGCCAGGGCAATTTCCACCCATTTGTGAACGTTACTTAGATTCGTAAAGTTGTCACAATTGTTCATCGGGTATTAACTGCCATACGCCGTTGTGGCAAATTCAGGAAAATAAATATTGTACTACGAGTAGCTGGGCCATTACTCCCATTCACTACGCAATTTGACTTCGACAATAAAATCATCCTGACACTGATGACAGAATTCTTCAAAGCTCCATTTTTTTTAACCACGTTTTTCGCGGGGATTTTATGGAGAAATATAAAGAACAGAGACTGTATGTGAAGCAGGGAAGTGTTATCCATAATAGGTTTTTTTGTTGGGTTAGATAGCGTAAATATAAAGGTGTCGTTAAAATCGTAAAATATTGCGCACGAGGCACTCTTCAAAGTGCATGGAGGACACACTTGCTTAAAGGTTTAAACAGTGAACAATTCAGCCCTTTGACCCCCCCCCCCCCCACACCTTGCTGGTCTGGAGGGCTGTTTGGCCATACTTCACCATGCCGGTCAGTGCAGGTTGGTAAAGGGGGGCCGGTGCATATGTGGGAACATAGATGTGCATTGCAACAACGTATTTTGCTCCACAGTCCTCTTCGACCCACCGCGTGACAGCCCATCGCGCCTGTCACGCGTGGTGGTCGCCCATCCAAGCACAAGCTCAAAAACCCTGATTCGCTTCCGAGGTCTGACAAGATGGGGCGCTTACAAAGTGACTTGCTCAGAGGCAAAGCTATAACACGATGATGAAAATAGGCTCGCTCGTGTTTAGGGCAAGAAAGTGAGCGGTTAAAGTAGGAGCAGAATTTTTTTTTTAAAAACGTAAGAAAGCCTCGTGGTAAAGCATCGCATTATTACTTTTGGTGTATGTGCAGCACATATTACTCGGGAGCGTTAAATGTAAACGAAGGCTCATTCACCGTCTGGCCAAAAACTCAAGTCGGCAAATGACCAAGGGGTGCCTTCTGTGCTTGCACAGGACGAGTGTTCAGTGCCACTGCAAATATTATCGTTAACGCTTCCAGGCGCTGAGATCCAATACCCAGCTTTTGGCTGTTAGTGGAAAGATTTCACACCGATCATTCAACGATATTAAAAGTATGTGTAATATATAAATGTGTAATACAATGACAATAATAAAAATGTAATGGACTGCTAAACGAGGTTACGGGTTGTCACATTCGATTTAACTCCACGTTTGTCTGGAACAATATTCTTTTCCGTTGCGATGTGAATTTGATACGTGTAATATGACTTTGAAAAGTATAGTTGCTCAGTGTTGTCAAAACACCACTCCACATTTAAAGAAGACATGATGTTCTCTATTTTATTTCTTGATGGATAATCCAGTCTCTCAGTTTTGTACCATACCGCATTACATTAATACTACATGTATACGCGTCGATTCTTCATCAACAACACAGATTCTTCTCGTTCACGATAAATACATCACATTTTGCGTGTCAGAATCGACGTTTTTTTTTCTATTCGTATACGTTGTTTGTATAGAATTGGTTCACATTTGGGATGGGCAGACAGATTCCAGCTCTGACTTCGATGCCCTGGAGGTGCAAGTGGAGTTTTGACAACTGGAGCGGAGTTGGGGTCACTCTCGCTCAGCTGGTGTCACTCGGTACACTCCCGAGCCCCGAACCGGAGCTGAGGTTGTGAAGGAGCCACTCCACTATTTCCTGCCTCCACGCAAGTTGTGAGCTTGGCAAGTGCGCAGAGATGAGTGGTGCAGATGGGCGAGTTGAGAGTGTGCGACCAGATTGATGAGTGCAGAGAAGGTGCGATTAAAGTCGTGAACTGTGGCAGGGTATGAACAAGATTGGTGCATGGTGATATTTGTAAGTGGTGAGTTATTAGGTTGGCGAATGAGTGGTGAGAGGGTGAGAGTAAGTGATGAGATTAGTGAGCGGGGAGAGGGTGTGACGAAATTATCGAGTGATGACAGGGTATTGACAAGATTTGCGAGTGGTGAGAAGATGCATGGGGTGAGATTTGTGAGTGCTGAGAGGGTAATTAAGATAGGCGAGCGAGTGGCGAGATTAAGTGATGAGATTGGTGAGTGCGAGCAGTGAGATTGGCAGTGGTGGGAGGGAGCAAACGAAAAGATTGTTGGCTCGTGCGTGGTTGGTGATAAGGGGGCATGAGGACTGCGATTTGTGAGTCGTCAAATGTTATTAAAAATCTAATATATTCCCAGTAGCTCCACATGCAAAGGTCACATTTATATTTCCAATAACATTTTTTACACATTTTCATATTTTGGTGCATGTTGCATGTTGTTTTTCAGACATTTGATGGCGTGAATACTTTTATTTTAACTCAATGATTACGTTGGTCAGGTCAAAGGAGCATTAATAAGAAAAAATGTTGTAATGATCTGGAGCATTCATATAATCGTTTTGAAGAACATTGGGGGAGACATTGTAAACCAATGGGCAGATTCTGACTGCTCGAGGTGTAATAATTAAGTAATTTAAGTGATTGTATAATTTTTTCACAGTCAATGCATTGCCTTGGGATGAGACCTGCACTTGCACCACAACATTGATAGCACAAAATTAGAAATTACGCAGGAGCTGCCACGCATTTTTCGAACGTTGTTTGAAGGCTGCTCAATCAATATTACCTTTCAACTAATACAAGGAAGAAATATCATGCATATGCATGGATTCTGAAACACTTTCCAAAGTGGGTTGGTTCACAGAAATGTTTAATTAACAGGATTGAAGCCAACGGGCCTGCTGTCAGGGCAAAATGCATTTTCACATTTGTAAATACATGTTATTCTTGGTACTCTGGGCTGTCTGCACGTTTTGGGCAAACTGATCATCAAATGGCCAGTCTACTATTGGGTAAGTCCCTAACAGCAACACAACTTTAGGGTAATTTTAGTTTAAAATTGAACTTTATGAGCGTGATTGTGCGCCACTAACAGACGGGCAATAATACAAAAAAAACATTTTATTAAATATGCACATGAATGTTTACAACAATGTTTACATTAAGATTATCAACGTTTAGGAATATACGTACATTAGAGTATACAATTTGCATATTTACAAGTGCAGTTTAAGACATTTTGATATGATGATAAAATACTTGTGAATTTTGTATAAGGTAGGATTCTCGAAATGGTAGCCTGTGGGCTGGCCCAGCGAGAGATTTCGCTCACCAAGACAAAGTGACATTTCAAGATAATTTTGTTCACCAGGTGAGGACTGGAAGAGAGTAACCAGGATAGTCTCATTTGCAAGAGTAACCTGGGACAGTGTTCCAGAAGAGTGCAACGATTGTTACGTACAATCCCAATTGAACGATCTGCAGGTAACTGCCAAATTAGAACCCCGAATGTGGCACATAATGACCTCCTCTTGCGCATGACGTCGGGAGATCTCTCTAACGTCCACTGCGAAGCTGACGGATTAAAGCGATGTATTACGGTAATTACACCCACAGTTATTTTCAGGGCGGCCACTGGAACCGAGCCGTGAACCTCTGCAAGAAGCGGCGAGAAACATGCCACCACGTGGCAATGTCATGTAGATTAGCGAGTGAGATGAAATACAGATTAGTTAGGTGAAGGAGATACACGAGAGATAAGAGACAATAGAGTTGTAGACAAGAAATGAAGATGAGACGAAAGCGAGATAAATGAGAGTGAGCCGAGTCCTGGAGATAAGACACAGATTAGAAGTCACGCATTACGGATGTCAGTCAATCACGACACTGTACGATGTCATGCCTGTACGAGACATCGCCAGCACACGCTAATTTCATTAAGTGGCCCACAAAAAAATATCGCCCAACACTCCTGTAAGGAAATGACAAGCGTCATACCATGAAATCAATGTAAGACATAAAGCCCAATCAGTGCTAACAAATCAGTGTCGGAGAATGTTATATTCACAAAATTGCATGGAATATTATTTTCCATGAACAGAGTTCTGTCTTACACACATCCCTCAAAGGACAAAAGTGGGGGGGGTCTCTTTAAGCCTGACAGTGCATGGAGCTTGCACCTCAACACTGCATTATCTAAAATTTATATTTCCTCAAATGTGGGGCGAAATTTCCAGCACCCAGAGCGCATGCATTCACCGCTTGAAAACCAATGGCCACATACAAGTGTGAGAGCAACAACAATGTAACACCACACTGCCCTCTAGTGAAACTATTTTACACTGCGGATACTGTGCACACGCACGTACTGGGGTCTGATGATGCATCCCATCTACCTGAAATTCTGGTGCAAATGAGCACTGGTTGACAGGATTGCATTCCTTAGATTTCGTTTAAAATACAGTGCGTCTAGGCCTTTATAAGAACAAAAATACACCAATTTTGACGACAAAATCGTGTATTCGTGTATACTAAACTATATTAAATGACAAACCATTATTACCACGTTGACAGAATTTGTAAAATATGCTTTTTTATTCATTCAAAGCATATCTTTAACTATCGTAAAGTGATGCAGAATTGCCCCTCGTTTTTTTTAGTCGAGGTTTTGTCAACACTAATGCAGTGCAGTTCCCATTTAAGAGGTGTAACCTGCACCCTCTTTAAGTGGCAAATCCCCACTCTCTCAATCTGTCAGATCTGCACTCTACTCACTGTACAAAAAACTAAACTCGAGCAGAAAGACCCAGTCCTTCACACACAACACACCGGTCAAGGCACGTGAGCAAAACTAGTTAAACTCACAATCTAAAACTTGCTTTAATTCCATATTGTATCATAATTCGGAAATGTTATACTTGGGGTACAATAACATATCGACGTGCAGTGACTGCACTACTGCATGGAGTTGCTGGCTACGCCCATACATACCTCCTCTCACTAATCTGTATTAATGGCCTAGAGGTAGCACTTTCACGCACATTGGTTTTTAATAAATCCCGCTAAGTGGCGAAAGGACCACAATGACAAATTATGAATGTCAATGCAAACATTATGTTTGCAAGTATGAGTGGAGAGGCTTTTTCCCCATGTGAAGAGACAAGCAAATTATCAATTCACAGCCATTTCCCAAATACATGTTGCGGCTTGTTTAGTTCATCTCATGCATATTTGTCTAGTTGCAGTGTGAATGTTTCATCAGACATTATGTTTGCAAGTATGAGTGGAGAGGCTTTTTCCCCATGTGAAGAGACAAGCAAATTATCAATTCACAGCCATTTCCCAAATACATGTTGCGGCTTGTTGAGTTCATCTCACGCATATTTGTCTACTTGCAGTGTGAATGTTTCATCGGAGGGCAGTGGCATTATCATGTGTGTTGCTTATATCTCTCACAAGCGTAAGACCTGGTGTCTCGCGTCACACAACGGGCGGCCACAACTGCAGCGGCCACAGTACCAGTGTTGACCCATCAGGAGGCGTGCGAGAGCATAGCCATTGCTGGAGAGAGCCCCTCAGAGAGCTCATAGGGCAGGGACAGGAGACTCTTGACCAGCCCACTTGTCAGCTGCAACAGCCTGCAATACAAACAGGACAATGCCTATATTCTTGGTTCTTTCGGTAAAGTCACGTTGAAGGGAAACAATAAAATAATCTCAAAATATATATATATATAAAACAATAAAATTCTCACGACGTTTCGACTGCAACACTGCAACACAAGCAGACGAAACGTCGTGAGAATTTTATTGTTTTATATATATTATTATTATTTTATTGTTTCCCTTCAACGTGACTTTCCCGAAAGAACCAGGAATATGAATCACTGCAGTCACGAAAGCTTGAAATCAAAAGGACAATGCCTCTTTGTACTTTGAAAAATTGTGAATAAAAAAATACAACAATGATGTCTTAAAATAAGCCATTCCCTATTATAACTTCAGAAACAACGGTGTGGAAGATGGCAACCTTCACGTAGCCCACTCGGCTGAGTGAGAAATCAGGACGAATGCCACCAACACAGCGACCAAACATCAAGCATTGATCTCCCCCCCCGGGGTCTCCAGCGCAACAACTCAAGAAACGAGTAGTGCAAGGATAAGACAATAAAAAAAAAATCCCCTCACCAAAATAGAAGTACCGTACACTTTTTTTTATACAGTATAAGCATACCTTAAGAGTCGGCAAAATTGTCGAATGGGGTGATTGGCCGGTTGTGATATCTCACTAGAGATGTCTTATCCACTATCAGCAGGTAGATGAAGGCGTTAAACACGTGCACTTCCTTTCCTAGATCCCTCCCAAGCTCGGTGAAAGTCCTTTGGGCTGGGCCACACAGGCACAATGAGAGAGCAGGGCCTCCTAGCATGTACTGAATGGGCCATTCATGAGCAACTGGGTTACAAAACAGCAGCAACAAACAGCAGAGTTTATGATCGATGGAATGTTAAACATTTTGAGAGCGCAACAAAGTTACATTCAGGAAAGTCAAGTGTGGAAGCATATGCCGAGACAAGCGTGCAGTAACGCCTGCCCTCTGGTGCCAACCCCTAGGGATCTCTCTGGCAAGGCTCCCAAGCGAGCCCCCGCTTGCTATCCCCGAGTCTCGACAGCATCGGTGGAATCTGACGCAGCTGTGTGGCCCTGAGCTTGACCCGGGCCCTCGGCCTCCGCCACACATGGAGGTTCTCGAGCACAGAGCACCTGGTGTGCACGGTCATTCGTGTGCCATTTAATTGAGGGAATCCTGCTGCGTGGCGTTATCTTGGTGTGGCCTGGGACCGTTTTATTGTTGTTTTTGCTGCCTTGCCCAGTCTTGATAAATCGGACTTGTGTGAATAATTTATTTGTTTATTATCTTTTATGTAAATGTGCTACTTTGTTTATGTAATTAATGTGTCTATTATTCATTTAGATTTAGTGAATTGCTTATCATTTTCTCTACTGTGCACTCCGAAAGCTTTTTGTATCGTTTGTTGTTGTAACCTGATGACTCGCCCATACTGGACATGTGAAAAGTAGCTTCATAGCTCATCGCATTCCTCCCAGAGTCTAAATCAAGATTCTGATCCCCGATCCAACACTCACTCGTGCGCAGAAAAGTTCAACCGTTTCACCTTAACAGCGCGACGTACCATTTGGCATGGTGGTCTGGGAGCGTCGGTGGTGGACCTTTCCCTGGCTCCTCCACACTGAGGCAGGCTTTAATTCTGGGGAAGCGAGCTTCCACGTCTCTTCTGTAGGCAGCCAGTAGGGCGACATCTCCCATCTGGTGCATAGCTCGCTGAAAAGCACGGCCACATTTATTGATCATTCCGTACTTTGTTTTTAAATAAAATTATTTATGTGAGCATTAAAATGCAGCCATGCGTATCGGTAGCACATGCACGTGTGTGGAGTTGATGTAAAATGCCTGACCTGAATGCTGGTATTTGAAACAGCATGCATGTATGTTTCAATTCTGTCGCACCATACGTAGCCAACCATGCTCATTGGAGGTGTGAAGAACAAACTAAACACAAAATGCAGTTCTAAAGAAATAAATTTTCAATCCAAATTTAAAAGCGCACAGCTCCATTGGCTTCCTAATATCGGAAGAGCGTTCCAGACGGCCGCAGAAGCGGATCTGAAAGCGCGCGATGCGGTAACCGTCTTTGGTCAATGGTTCGCCAAAACCCGCTGCTGCGAGGATGACCGGAGTTCAAGTGATGGTGTATGCTCCTTTACGAGATCAGCAATGTATTGTGGTTCATTTGTGGCAAGCACTTTGTGTGTAATGAGTGCTACCTTACAACGTATTTCCCTACTGATCCGAATAGCTACTCCAAGATAAATTAAGGAATGTATTTTGCTGAGCAGAAGGCATGTATGCATGCACCCCCTTCTCCCCCCAGAGATTTGATGAATTGTCCCACTTTAAAATGATTGATTCAAAACTCATTTTTGTTTGCTATTCTGGTGCATGAAAAATCTCTCGTGAACCAATCGCATACAACATTTACAAATATAAATAATCAATTATTACGCACACAATCTTATACATGTATTGTCAATTGGTTTTATTCAATTATTTCATGTCTTTTTTGTGTACACAGACGAATATATTTATATTTCTTTTAAAAACGAGACCATTTCAACCTCATTAAACCACAACCCTGTAAAATGTAGGAAGTTGCTTTTCATACTTACATAGAGAACAGCGATGCGATGTGCGATATATTTATGCCTATTGAGTTGATATACATCGCCTTGCAACTGCTGACTAAGAACCAGAATCTGATTTAGTCTGCACACGTTTTCGAAGTAATCTGAAAAATATTTTTAACATAACACCATCAGTTATTCGTGGAGATTTTGAAGCTTCATGAAACTGAAGAGGTACTATAATGTAGACTATAACACAAAGTGCATTGAGTCTGTTGGGTGGCTCAGTGGTCAGAGCATTGAGGCAGCACCACTGAAATTCGAATCTGGGTTCGAATCCAGGCAACCACTCATAATGACACTGGATTCTCAAGTGCAGCAAATCAAAAGGTCTTAACCCGATCTCACCAATGATTGCACGCAACAAGACACATCATAACGCAATGCCTATATAACATTTTCTATAACATTTGTAAATAAAGTTATTTGGGTCTTTCGGTAAAGTCACGTAGGTAGAAAAAATAGCAACAACAAAACAATAGAAAATAAAAATAAAGTGAATGGAAAACAAGAAAACATTTTGATTTAAAGCTTCCGTGACTGCAGTAATTCATATCCTTAGCTCTTTCGGTAAAGTCACGTTGAAGGGAAACAATAAAATAATAAAATATATATATAACAATAAAAATTCTCACGACGTTTCGACCATAACACAAACACCTGATGACGACCGTTTGTGTTATGGTCGAAACGTCGTGAGAATTTTTATTGTTTAATATATATTTTATTATTTTATTGTTTCCCTTCAGCGTGACTTTACCGAAAGAGCTAAGAAAAAAAAAAACATTTTTTTTGTGTTTCATTCACTTTATTTTTCCATTTTTATTATTTTGTTGCTATTTTTTCTATCTACGTGACTTTACCGAAAGACCCAAAAAACATGAATTCCTGCAGTCACGAAAACTTTAAGTCAATATTTGTCAAAAAAAGACTACAAAATCCTCACATATAAATTGCTCAAAATGCAGTACAGTGCAAGATCATTAATTTTCAACCTTAAGCACAGTTTAACAAGTAGGATCAATCATCAAGCTTCTCGAGCAGCACATCAAAGAATATGGAAGACTACACACTGGAAATTTTTTTTGCAAGCATTGCACATGATGCCAAGAGATATGCCGCAAAACTGACAGCTGACCAAAAATGCTGTGTTCCCTACTAAATGGTTCACCAAGTGCGGTTAAGTCGAGGTTATCCATGGGCACATTACACAAGTTGCGAATTAACTGTGCTTGCAGAAAAGTATATAACTTCATCCTTGCGCTTATTAATTCAATGCTTCTCACTCTTCGAGGGCCTGTGACTCAGTTTCCACGTGAGCACAAACGCTTCAAGTAAACCCATCACAATAAAATCAGACACCACAATGTCTTTTCCCTCCCTTCTATGTACGTAAACAATTAAGATATGTGTATAGCTTAAATTACTTATGTTTCTGGGTCAACCCACCCATTATAATGTTATCTACCTCACCTGGTATACAGGAGGCCGTGGGTTCGATCCTGACCCTGATGTCTGTATATCTGGAATTTGTATGTCTCTCTGCCTGTGATCGCATGGATTTTTCTCCAGGTCCTCCGGTTTTTCCCTCCGCATTTAGAATCAATATGCGTTTAGAATATCTGGCTGCCATACATTTGCACATAAAGCCAATTCGTTGAGCTATCCTTTTTGGGCAGGTCGCTTCTGAAAAACAGCTATATTAATAGCTCAGTGGACCTTGCCTGGTAAAATAAAAATCGTAAAAAAAAAAAATAGTTAAAATTATCCCAGATAAATCTGAGAATTGACTGTAACTAAACTTCAGAGCGGGCATGACCGATTCAAGCCAACGTTCGAAATGTTGCAGTTCGCACCGTCAAGTGGAGGCTGCTCCAGCATATCTACAGGCCGGCCGTGGATGATGTAAACCTCCACTCGAGGGAAGAAGAGCGAGAGGCCACGGCTGTCCAGATAGTCCTGAAGTAGCAAGTGCCAAAATGTCACTCTTCTCAAACACAAGGCATAAAAATGGAAAAGGCAAGGGCAATAACGCTGCAATGTAAAGAAAAGGGAAATTGATAACGACTTTTTAAAAAAAAAAAAATATGACCTGTAGTTATGAATAACAAACTGAACGGAAGACACTCGGTGGGCATTAATTGCTCCCCCATCCTGTGTTGTGTTATGCTAACACACAGATGCCACCAGACACGCACACAGCTTAGTCGCGCTAAACTTTAGACAGTCATGAGAATAATACAGTTTTGATTGTATGCGTATCCTATGTGGTAAAAAAAAGTTTGGAAAATTTAAGATAAATTGGACAGGTGGAAGAAGGTAATGTGAATCTGAATCTCCAAGTTAAATCTCCCTTGATCTCAACCACAAACACAAATTATTATTCATACTATTGATTGAACAATTTCGATTTAAATAAATGCCACTTATTTTACGAAAGGGGTACATTGTAAACCCAAGAAATGGCAATGTAAACAGCTCCATCTCCTGGAATTATACTTATACTGATTTAACAGCCATGAAAAGATTACCTCAAGCTCAGGAACCGGTGGAGGCAGATGCTGTAGTGTCCTTGTAATTTTTTCTAAAACATCCGCAGCTAGACAACACGTAAAATAAGTGTTTCAATGTAACATACCTAATGACCTAACGGAATGGCACAATTTGTTAACACTATACAATTATGTGACGTCTTCGAATTAAGAATGGTTGATTATGAAACCTCACGTTATGGTACATGTATCAAATCACGTGGAAGAATGTATGAAAAGTATTCGCTAATGCTACATTTTGGCTAACAATATATGAGACTAAATTTTGATTTAAAGCTTTCGTGACTGCAGTAATTCATATTCTTAGTTTTTTCGGTAAAGTCACGTTGAAGAGAAACAACAAAATAACAAAATATATATAAAACAATAAAAAATTCTCACGACGTTTCGACCATAACTCATTTTGTTGTTTCTCTTCAACGTGACTTTACCGAAAAAACTAAGAATAATATATGAGACTGCCAAAGGGACCACAAATACGAGAAATAACATTAGACAGCAAAATGTTCAAGAAGAAAAGGAACCAAGTTTATTTTCAAGAAATAATTATTCAAAACCATAACAATTCATCGAATTGCCAGAATGTTATTGCATAAAAAAAAGATGGGGACTCACCCTCCGCTTGAAAAGCATCTGACTCTATAGGGCTGGTTTCCAATGACGACTGCTGTTGTTGCAGCTATGAACGGACATCAACCAATGGCACACTTGTTATTCTTGGGCACACGTACCCCCCAAAGGGTCGCATTCAATTACTGACAAATGTTTACCAAGTGTACAGGGTGAATAAACATAGCAGACCTCGGTGCGGATGAGGAGGTCAAGGTTGAAGCAAAGTGCAAGAATACGTTGGGACACTTCATTTTCGTCCAGATACTTGACAGAGCACGGCTCCTGAATGCACACCTCCACTAAATAAGTGCAGAACACGGGGAGTTAGAAGTAGTCGATAGCCATCATTCATTTACTCATTGATGGAGGGGTGCAGCAGCAACAACATTAGATCGGCCTGTCACCCACCACGTTCATGGACTGATCTAACCGTCTTCTACTCAATTCAGCTTCGCAAACAACCAAACGCGGACGCTTAAGCACGCAACTTTACGCACGCACTGCCTTGGGCACCTTGCTAATCGTGACAAAATCACAGTGACCTCATCACATCTCAGAAAGAAAGCGGCTAAGCTCCGTTACTCTAAAACGTGTATGGGAGGGTAAATCTCCTGGGGTTACTCCAGTTTCTTCCCACAATGCCACACACTTCACTCATGGAACTGGGCAAATATCCAAATACAGGACCCTCCTGAACCCCCCCCCCCCCCCCGCACAAAATCAGACTCGGTGAGCCTGCTCTGAGCAAAATGGCATTATTATGATGGTTATTAAAAGTACCGTCCGACAATCAAACAAACGAGGTGCATTTGCCAAGTGCGGTTCAATCAGCAGCAAACAGAGATGGCATCAAATACAAAGTGGAACAAACGCCCCCCCCCACTCACGTGCACCACAATGGGCCGCACTCAGCGATGGGTTTCGGGAGGAGGGGGGAGGGATGAAACGTTGAATTGCGAACGACCGAGGAGTCACCTTGACAATGAGCGTCGTAGGTGTGAGGCACTCTGAGTGGGTCGCTCCTGGCGATGGCAGTCATGGCGAGGCGAAGCTCAAAGCAACAACTCTCGGCGATCAACCATTGCCCGGAGAGCCTGCGTGATACCGTAGCGCGGTGGATGAGACAATAGGACGCGTCTCTTAAATGTTGATTCCTACGCTGAAACGACAAGTGAATCGACGCGCGCGCGTGTAAGAACCCCACGCTTCGCCATTCGCACGTTGCTTGTTAAAGGTTCAACTCCCCCTCCTCTACCCTCACCCCAACCGGAGCCACGAGCGGTCGCTACATTCGCCGCGGCGTATAGAAGATGAATGCGGTACTGCGACGGATTATTGCACTGAAACGTGACGCTCCATTCGCGACAATTGATCGATTTACACACCGCGGCGACCAGCATCGACGCAGGCCTAACATCCTAGGCAAGGCCTGCGGGGATTTAAAGCAATTATACCGCGCCACGTTGAGAGTTGCAGGCTAAATACCCCAAAGGTGAGACGTAGACAAATGCGTGCAGAAAGCGAACGTGGTTTAAGCGTGCGATTTACCCGTAATTAGGACGGACTTTAGCCATTAAACGCATCCACCATCGCCTTGCGCGTTACCGTGGCAACCCCACTGGCTCAGCCCAATGAGGAGGCCCGGTGAAGGTCACGTGGGCCAGGTTCCCCCTCGTCATGGCAACTCGAAAAAGTGACAACTCCCACGTGACCTTTGCTCGACCAATTACGGGGCGCGTCCATTTCGGGTCGTCCCCTCGATTTCTATCCGTGGGACGTTCTTGTTCGCCAGTGTCAAAATAATGAAGAAACGTATAACAGTAGACTTTAACCCTTTCTGGCAATAACACACGTCTTGATATGTTCTAACACCAAATAGGTCACCACACGCACTTGTGGCGAAACACGCAAACACGGCGTGATGTTACGCACTGTGCTCGAACTGATTGGCCGACATCAGAGACAGCTTCGTGGCATTGTCTCACCACCAGTGTTTGACCAGACAACGCCAAAGGCAGTAACAAAGACAATGCAAGTTTCAAAATACTGTAGTTAATTACTCGGGTTGAGCACATTAATTAATGGGACCATTTTGCCAGTCTTAAAATGATGAAAAAGTATTTTCTTACATATTTTTTTTTTAAATCCAGCAACGTTTCAATAAACAAACTACTTAGGTTACAGTCCACCAAACTCTCAAAGCAATTCAAAGTTCTTTGGGTCTTTCGGTGAAGTCACAAAAAACTACGACCGCTCATTGCGTTGCGATCGAAACGTCGCAGTTTTTTTTTAAATTTACTTTTAACCTATCTACGTGACTTTACCGAAAGACCCAAATAATATGAATTTTTACACTCATGAAAGCTTTAAGTCAAGCAATTCAATGATTAGCCCCACCGAGAATACGATCGTAAAAAGTTTACCCATTGGTCACCACGTTAAACCACTGCGCTGTGAGTCCACAACTTTAAAAGCCTTCACTTTGTTATGTTACAAAGCTCTCGAGAGAGCTTGAAAAAATTGCCGACACTGACTATATTGCAAGTCAGCGTGGCGGGGTATTGGGAAAAGTTTTCAATTAGCAATAATCGCGCCTCGGATAAACCTCATTGGCTACGATACTGCCACTGCGCAAAGCTGGTTTGTTACAGCCCCGACCGCTCCCTCTTAAGCGACGCGCCGTTGCCTCAACGCTATGGGTTCAGTCGCGAATGCAAAAATAAACATCTATAAAAACTACATTTTACTTGCTTACATAATACACTAAAGAATTTGAGTTAATATATTTTGACATTGAATGAAAAACCGTCGTCAATTACCCGACTAATTTAATGCGCTTATGTCTCGTACCTCTTTCCCAAGAGTTTCCGCTGGCCAGGCGGTAGGTTAATGGTTGGGGCCTGCTTTGGTGACTCGATCGGCACGTTTACAACGAGACTTGCAAGGGGTGTTCGCTTTTCTGTTTGTTTAGAAAGGTCTGCGGGTAATAAAGCCGTCACAGTGTTGAAGAATGTCGTTTGTTAACAGCAAAAAAAATTAAGTAGACCGTTATCGTCCCAACACCACTTAAAACCAATAAGTTTCACCGCAGCTGTATGTTGCTCATGACCCAAAGATATATAACTTTTTTTTTATTCTCACACGTAACCTATAGCACACGCGCCAGCAGTGAAGTCTCGGCTGTAGGGTAACATCGTTGCTGTGCAAGTGTCACAAATGTTGCTGTACCCAATGCAATGCGGTAGGTGGCGGAGCGAATACATGCTTCCCAGATGCCATTGCGACCAATGTTCCTCCGATATATAATTGCAAGTTACTTGCAAATATCATTATACAGCTATCGTTTTAATTTCCGAACGGACGTATATGCACCGAAATAGTTCCTGTGTTAAAGTCGTAATTGAAATCGTGTGTGTTTTTAACGTGTTTAATTTGGCATTCGACTGAGCCCATGGCGTTGATGGAGTTCCGCGTCACTTAAGAGGGAGCGGTCGGGGCTGTAACAAACCAGCTTTGCGCAGTGGCAGTATCGTAGCCAATGAGGTTTATCCGAGGCGCGATTATTGCTAATTGAAAACTTTTCCCAATACCCCGCCACGCTGACTTGCAATATAGTCAGTGTCGGCAATTTTTTCAAGCTCTCTCGAGAGCTTTGTAACATAACAAAGGGAAGAACCGCACTTCCAGCGTGTGGCCTACATGGCCTTGCGATCAACAGGCAATCTGATCCGCCGATCTCACAGCAAAGGCGGGTGGCTACTACAATATGGTGCCGACGGTGTTACTAGTTTTCACCATCGACTTGTTATCATAATCTCTCCGGCTCAAATGTCAACTCCGGTGCGGCAGTTGTAACATCAATAACCAGCTAACATCAGAGACGCCTCGCCAAAGAGAAGCAGTTCCAGCCCATCACATTAGGGGTGAGTTCATTAAATGTTTGACCAAATTTAACAGGCTAATTTTTTCAAGTTGATCATTTTGTATGGCCCGCAGAAAAAACAGGTTCCCCGCCTCTGACCTAACGTATTTAACATCTGGCCAGCGTCGCGTAGTCCAAAGCACAAAGCAGATTTGAGACGGCAAGCGGCGTTAGCAAATGACAAGCGGCGTTGTAGCTTTACTACTTCTTCTGGCGTATTACGTGTGGTAAGGTGTAAACTTCAATATCGAGGCTCGACGAACCACAGACGGATACGTTACAACTCCTTAACTACACGCTGCGGTGTTATACAAAACAAACTCAACGTTTTCGCCAATAATGTTGTAGGGAACCATCTCTTTTTTCAAGCAGACACGCCTTTGGAGTCACGTGGGGCATTCCAATTACGTCACCAAGGCAGACCGTCACATCCTGTCCAGCAACCACATGCGGGATGGATGTACACAAATTGTAAGCACAGTTTCTCATCAAATTCGCAGAGTAAATGGATTATGGTTCACATACAAACATTGAAATATACACAATTAAATCGTACGTGTAGTATTTCAGCATGTATAATAGTTTATTTTACAGATGTTTCGTTTCGCATTCGACTGGACCCATGGCGTTAAGGCACAGCCGCGTCGCTTAAGAGGGAGCGGTCGGGGATGTAACAAACCAGCTTTGCGCAGTGGCAGTATCGTAGCCAATGAGGTTTATCCGAGGCGCGATTATTGCTAATTGAAAACTTTTCCCAATACCCCGCCACGCTGACTTGCAATATAGTCAGTGTCGGCAATTTTTTCAAGCTCTCTCGAGAGCTTTGTGACCTAATAAAGTGAAGAACCGCACTTCCGGCGTGTGGCCTACATGGCCTTGCGATCAGCAGGCATCTGACCCGCCAATCTCACAGCAAAGGCGGGGGGCCTACTACAATATGGTGCCGACGGTGTTACTAGTTTTCACTATCGACTATCATGTCTCCGGCTCAAATCTCAACTCCGGTGCGGCAGTTGTAACAGTCGAATGCGGTGGTGTTAAGCCCGCCTCCAAATCATTCCATCCCGAACAAGTATTTCATCGCTTCACTGATGCGAGTCTGCCTAGCTACATTGGGATGTTTGGCCAAGTATTCATTAGGTTCCGCCATGATGCGTGGGATAACAGTGCAATCTTACTGGACATCGTGAATAAGTGCTTTTTAGCTCATCCGATTCCTCCTGTATATATTTTTTGGAACCCGGAGAAAACCCTCCACCTATAAGTAAGGGAGGCAAGTCGCCACTCATCTCCTGGCCACCTCGAAGCCTAACATATGCTAACCTGGCTCAATGGCTCAATGCCGCTTAGCTTCTGCCATTTGACAGGATCAGATTGTATACAAATCACCTTTTGTGTCAATATTAATCCATGAAAACACGTGCCATTTTTACAACAGGGCACTGTTGTTGTAATGAGGTTACACCATTCTAAATGCATTTGAAGGCAACAACGATCAGGAAGGAATAAATGGTCTTAAGTCACATGTAACCTGTATTTTTATTATATCCGACTCATCCTGGATTAAACAAGAGGCAATTCAGCAATACAGAAATGGCATTGACAACATAATTACCAGGAAACACGTAAAACAGGAAGACATATTCTTGGACATTTATCAACATGTTACAGTGACATAATCAGTAGTACAGTGATGCGAAATTAAGAAATCATATCTGCAAACGTTATTCTTAGGCATAAAAAAATATTATTTTGTTTTAAAATCCGCAAATGATAACTGCCTAAACGTTATATTTGCAAGCCAATAAATATGTATGTTTAAATCTGCTGTTGGGGTTTGGATTGAACAGTGAAATGTTAGAAATTAAAGTTGAATTTCACATAGTCGAATACAGCAATATCACTCATAGCAATGTGTATGTGGAGGATACTCAGGATTTCATTACATATAGCGAACGGTATGTCACATCTTGGACTCGATGGGGCTTGACGTATAGGCGGATATTTTAACGTCAGGTATGAGAACAAGTATAGAAACTGACCGTTCTGCCACGCACAAATAGTGCACTGGCTGTTGGCGACGTTGTATTCAATTAGGTAATGCGTTATGTGCCACTACGCTATGCAAATACTGGGAAAGGGGTGTTGCGCTTAATGGGCTGGAATGCTTCGGAGCGCTTTTTCTATTGAGCGACCCTTTAGCCCACAACTCGCCACAGGGCGCTCACGGAGCTGCCACGCACAGCATGAGGTGGACGGTGTCAAGATTGTTTCAAGATCTGATTTGTAGATAATCACCGTACTCTTGAAACAAGCAAACTGAAATGCCCGCCAAACGCCCAGGGACCGTCCATCAGCGTGGTTGGCTACATACGGTGCGAAAGAAGTTCAACATAGGTACACAAGAGCTGACTTCCGCCTGGAAGCGCCAAGACAGAGTGCTCTGCCCAGTGAAAGCGCACCTTTGGTGTTAATCAGTTTAAACCGTGTACACACAGTGCAGTATTGCAATGTCACACAAATGCACAAACGTATTTCCCCCAAAGCCACTGGGGAAGAATTGTTTGCCTATAAACTACAGCACATTCTACAGTGACCGTAAAAGCACAGCATCTGCATAGATCAGGAACCCGTAGCAAAAAACTGACAATTAAACACAACAAAATTAACAATATCGCATTATTATCGTGCGACATAAGCACAAGATGAGAAAATAAATTCACAAGGCAAGGCCGATTCTCTGTTTTATTATAATTATTAAATATCAGGGTATGATTTTTTTTAATTGTCTTTGCAGCTTTCAAATGGGACCTACGATGAATTTGGCACACCACCAATCACAAATGAGGTGTTTTCTCTATTGCTTGTTAGGGTTTTCGATTAATATATCAAGGCACCTTTCCAAAAATAACTATGCGTTTCACACCCATCTATATAAGTGGGCCAACAATGGCTTAAACATATTTACTTGCCAGCGTAAAAAAAAACTGAAATTTATCGGCATATTTGCCTTTACAGTTGGATTTATTTAAACTCTTGATTAGGAAAAAAAGGCAATTCATTGCCAAGGAGTAAACAACGGCATGTGGCAAATTTTAATAAATCTCGCTAAGGAACATACGTGCAAGTTGCGTCTTTGCAGGCACATTCTGACAGTTCAAAAGGCACACATTTTACCCAATACAACAGCGGAAGAGGCATTCAATTGTAAACAAAATATTTCCTAAGCTGCTGGCACATACGCCTTGTAAGCAATGTAGTTTAGTATGTGTAAGTGCCAGTGGTGTCACCTGGGCAATGCAATTGATTTTGTAATTATAGCTGGCCAAGTTGAATACTACAGTTCAATAGAACTGCAGTTAAAAACCATTCCAACAGAGGGCGATGTTTCAGAATGTTGTTTACAACTGATGTTTGAGTGCAGTGGACTTGGCCCGTAATTTAAGATGGCATATTCAACATCCGCATTATTCCTTCAACGCGTTGTACACTGATGTTGCTGTAAATGTATCTTTACGATGACGTGAGTGGGTCACGTTTTTTTTTTACTCCAACTTTTGAAGTGACGGGTTGGCCATTTTGGGGAGGAAATTTGCCAGGTAAATTGCAGACAGTGATTGGTCCATAAGCACGCAAAAATTAATTTAATCAACACAATATTGTACATCTCTCCAATTCGGTTCACCAGCCATTCGCACGACCAATTAAAGTGTCGACTCTGTCTTGCACTCTGCTCGTACCACCAAACGTCATGGGGTGTTTTTCCTGCATTTGCGTGTGCCAACACAGCAAATAATGAGTTCATTTAAATTAAAACGAGTGACAATTCAACACTTTGCCCTATAACACAATGTACCATGTCAATGCTGCGCGCTGGTTCTCACAAAAGCATCACCCATCATCAAGGCAATTGTAATATGCTTTAAATGTTCTTCATGCAGCTTTCCGATAAGTTTAAAACATGAAATGTTGGTTATTTTGTGGACAACTTTTCTTATAGCCAAACTGCTACTTTAACTTTTAAGTACTAGCAGCAAACCCGTGGCCGAGGTTTCTTTAGGTGAGACATTGTGGGGGACGAGGGACACAGCTGCCTCCAACCACAAATGTTTGGACGGGTGTGCCGAGCGACGTGCTGTGCCGAGCGACGTGCTGTGCCGAGCCACGTGCTGTGCCGAGCCACGTGCTGTGCCCTTCTCAATTAACGCGGACCACCTACGCGACATAACGTGCATGCCGCGTTAACTCATCTTCTAAATAGTTTACATACATCCTCTCCTCACTGCTCAGCTCAAATCTACCTACCAGTATTTCCCATTCATAAAATGTAGTCAGTCAATTCATCATTGCGCACACACACACACACGTTGATGGGCTGACAATGAAACCTGAAGTGCATTGAGGTCAAAAGGACTACAAATTGACCACCTCCGGTTGTCCTCGCAAGCATGCGGGCGGGCGGCGGTGGCGGCAACAGCAGCGAGTCCCAATCAGCATCCAGGTCACTGGCCTCAGAATCTGGTCCGGTTTTCCATTCCAAACGACACCAGGCCCACAAAGAGACAGATTCCACGCTGCTGCTGCTACAGCGGACAAAAGTAGACGCTTGACTCGTACACTCGAGCCAGGTCACCCAAGAGTACGACGACACCCAGGCAATATTCACCCGTGTGTTACTCGCAACCTGGATTACACTGATTATGCTCACAGCAAAATTGATGGCACCATGTTAATTGAGCATGACCGAGTTAATAAATGCAGAAACCTTTGCGCAAAGGTCAGTCTTTTCCGACTGACAAACAAAACAGACTCTTTCAAAGACTTGACTTCCCCCCCCCCTACAATCAACACTTTATTATACAATGTGATCCATGTATAGATACCCCACCAAAATAATGAGACAAGGGAAAACGTTCGATTTAATTCAAGGCGTCTGCGCATCTTTCACCAATACACGCATTGAATCTTAACTCCCCTCCCTGTAAGGTACGCAGACATCGCTTTCACGATATCCCATCACGTGCTGAAAATAATTACGAGGATCATTTCACTAATCAGCCGAGTATCTATAAACGGATCGCCCTGTATACACATATATACATCCCTGTTACAAATTGAATCCATACAACAATCAACTGAACACGAATCAAATTTCGGCAACTTTGGGAGTGTAATTAGCAGCCGCATTTTACAGGGGGGAGGGAGTGGGGGAGGGGGGTGGGTGGGTCGTAATAACGGCAAGCGGTCTGGGGGTTGACGCTCTCTCACGCGCAAGCGAGCGGTTAATCCGTCTGCGGGATGGAGAGGCCGGGCGCCTTGGGGTCGTCGAAGCGGTCCATGGTCTTGATGGAGGAGAGCATGTGCAGGGCATAGGTGAGGACGAGCAGCAGCACGAAGCCCGACACGAGGCCCATCCAGATGGCGGGCGTGAAGAAGGAGGTGCAGTCGCTGGCGTAGGCGAACGCTGTGCCGTTACGCATCGCCGCGGAGCCCTGGATCTGTGAGGGGTGGAGGGGTAGGCGTGGGGGTGGGTGTGGGGTGTGGGGTACACGCGCACCATGAGGATACCAACCTCAGAATGTCGCGCGGTGAACGCTGCGCTGGCGAGAATTTATCTGCCTCCCCTGTCATACAAGAGGTCGTGGGTTCGATCCCGACCCTGGCAACGCCTGCTGTACACGTGGAGTTTGCGCGTCTCTCTCTCTCTCTCTCCCCGTGGTTGCGTGGATTTTTCTCCGGGGTCCTCCGATTTTTCCCCTCCACATTTAGAATCATCATGCGCTTAAGAGTATTTTGGCTGCTGCTACAAATGAATGTCCACGTGATAATAAGCCACTTCGCTGAGCTATCATTTGTGGCCAAGTTGCTTCCAAAAAAGAGCTCTATAGGCTCAGTGAGTCTTACCTTGTAAAATTAAAAATAGTTTTATAGTATTATAATGCTCGGCATGCACGCAGCTGCATTGTGAGGTCGGGGTTTCTGTAGCGTTTCGCGATTCGGTCGTATTTGGCGACGTGGGTAAGAAATATTCAGCCTAAAGCTGTTTTACAAGAATGACCCGTGGAGGACCTTGGTAAAAACAAAAACTTTTTCCAGCGTAAACATCAAAACGTTCCAGACACTGATAGCGTACATGTTCCCGAGTTCACAGCCTTACGGAGCGAAAAATAATTTTGAGCAAAACATCGAATTCCAATGTTAACTTCATCCATGCATAATCTCACATCTTAAGCCTCCAGATTTATTGGTCAGAATTTGATCGATAACATTGGCAGGAACGCATAGCACCCCCAATGCTCAACAATTACTCGAATTGTGATAACATATAGCAAGTGGCCAAATTCATCAAAGGTTTATCTAAAACCTGGCGCCTTTTCCTTTGACAGCGACACACTGGCTTTCATACCGCTAATTAAATACCCCCAAAGTTGGAATGCATTTCATAATCCATGCGTACGCATGAGTTCTCTCCTCCGATTCAATTACTTTGCAAAGGGGTTAACCTGAAGCGTCTCTCACCAGATATCAATAAGCAGTTCATTTCTTTAGAACTGCTTTTTGTCATTAGTTTGTTGTCCTTCCAACACACCTCCGATTAGGACGGTTGGCTACGTACGGTGGGAAGTTCAACATACATACGTGTACGATGGTGGTGATGATGATGATGCGGCCGTATGAAATGCTCTTCCTTCCGATATTAGGAGCGACTTGGAGCTATGCACTTTTAAATCATCTAGATTGACAAACTCATTTCTTTCGAACTGCTTTTTGTGTTTAGTTTGGTTGTCCTTCCCCCGCACCTCCAATTTAGCACGGTTGGCTACGTAAGGTGCGAGAGAAGTTCGACACACGTACAAACAAACAAACCGATTTTTGGGATGCGTTCACCCCCGCCCCCGACCCCCCCGGGCCTGGGTACCTGGAATCCCTCGATGGAGAAGTGGATCTGCCTCTGGCGTTCCGCGGGCGAGGCATCCGGGCCGAAGCTGCCCATGAGCACCATGCCACTGTGCCGGGGCTCCGAGTCAACGGCGCCACAGCTGTAGGAGAACTCGGAGGGGTTGGACGCCCAACGCACAGCGTATTGCTCCGTCGCGTTCCACGACATGGTGCCGCCCGCCGTCTCGTTCACAGCCTCCACGATCAGCTGCTCCACCGTCATCCAGTTCCGGTTGGACACCGGGTAATGGCGCTGGGAAAGCGTTATTCTGCAACAGGGAGACGGTTGAAACGCGGTTAAAACCTCCAAACAGGACGCTGTTTACGTGCTAATTAAGCTGCCCTTGGTGGGAGGCGTGTACTGATAGGCACTAGCAATTTTTTTAATTTATACAGTCACTGTACTTCTCTGTTGTATTGAATTTAATCAAATGTTTCCTTTGACAACGTATGCTTTGCTGATGTGCTCTGTAATTTTTGGGGTCTTCATTTGTAAATATTCAATTGTAAGCTATTAAGCGTTAAACGTCTTACGTGGTAATGTACAAATGGAATATAACAGCATAACAAACATGTGTAAGATATGAAATTACAGCCGCTGTCTATCCACCATGGCCTCTAAATGCTGTGTCTGTGATTTGGGTTTTTCGACCATACTTCACGCACTGGTAAGTGTGGGTTTATGAGTAATAGGGGTGGGGCATGACCAGTTCTTATACCGCATGCCACTGATGTTAGCTGTGGCCAGAAACCGAACTTGGGCAGCTGGAGTTGATAGTGCTGTGTGAGAACTGCTGCATAAATATAATTAAACTGCAGTATAAATGTAATAAAAACTTAACTGTCGTGTTTTAAATTGCTTTATTACCTTCAGTATGGCAGACATTTGCCAAAACCGTAACGGCTCTCCCTTTAGGCTGGCTTCGAAAACTTTGACTTTATAATTGAGTCACAAAAAATGCCATATAAACCAAATACTTTTTCCTAACTTTGTGGTTACATTAACTTGTACTTTTCAATGCTTTCCAACTCAGCTTGAAAGTGTTCATGCATTAGCTCTGTGATACCGTCTGTACTACGGGATCACAATAATGCTCTGAAAGATGATCCAATATGAACGCAACTATAGTATAAACCTGCGCAGAATGTAACGCTATTATCTAATATCACCAACTAAATATTTCAGAACGCATATAAATGTTGCAAAGCGATAAAAATGTATGCACGCGCGTGACTTTTTGAACATGTTCAAAAAAGAGTTGAGTTGTTTTCACTCTGGTGCTCGCAAGGTGGCAATGATACATACTCAATGTTCAAGTTGGTGACCGGCAGATTGGAGATTCTCAAGTTTGAGTAAGATAGGACCAGCCTGAGACAAAACAGACACGACACAGCTCAGCGCCATTTCTAATAACAGTGATCATTAATGATCAGACACTGTTTCCACAAACGATGTAAATGCATGGGACACAGAAACTGACAATAAAAATTCGTAAGAGGCATCGATAGGACTTTAATAGTGGCTCAGCATTATTTCGTGGCAGGCATCATGCAATACCTAAAAAAGCCCCTTTTAATTGCAATGTAGTGTTATGACTGCATGGTTATTGTAAATCTGTTGAAATTTCCAAAGTACTTACAAATTGTAAACATAACACAATAAAAGAGCAAAAACTCAGTTTTAGTTAATTGAGCAAATTCAACAACGCTTGCATTTTCCATGTTAATGTTTAGCATTACTTTGTCTTGAGCATATAATGAATAGCATGTTTATTTAAGATATTCTTACCCACCAAGATACTTGAACCCAGTGAGTGTTGTGCCCCCTAGTTCTGCATCTGAAGTACGATTTTCTGGGCCTTAACATTTTAAGCTACGACGGGCATTGACCCACACTCGTTTTACCAGGAAACCACTCAGGCGATTATCCCCGGGCTGCTTGAACTGGGATACACTTTCCCTCAGGCGCCACGGTGGCGAGATGTTAACTACCTCGCCTGGTATCCGGGAGGTTGTGGGTTCGATCCCGACCCTGACGCCTGTATATTTGGAGTTTGCGTGTCTCCAGGACCTCCGGTTTTTCCCTCCACATTTAGAATTAACACCACGCGTTAAAAAGTATTAGGCTGCTATTATACATTTTCAAACAACAAGCCACTTCGATGAGCTATCGTTTGTGGGCAGGTTGCGTATGAAAAAAAGCTAAATAGGCTCAGTGGGTTTATGTAGCTCAGTGAGGTCATGGGCTTGATCCAGACCCTGACGCCTGTATATTTGGAGTTTGCATACCTCTCGACCCCCCCCCCCCCCGTGGTCACGTGGAGTTTTCTTTCGGGTCCTTCAGGTTTTTCCTCTCCGCATTTATAAATCAACACCGCACGATCAGAGTATTCGGCTGCTACAATACATCTCCGCGCAAACAATAAGCCACCTCGTTGAGCTACCGCTTGCGGGCAGGTCGCTTCTGAAAAAGAACTGCGCGTCTCGCAGTGGGCCCTCTCCTGGTAACATAAACCACCGAGGTAATGTTTTAGCTCGGAGCCTTGGGAGCGTGCGCTCTTACGTCGAGTTGTCCGCGTGGCACGCCGACGCGTTGCTGTTCACCAGCCCCGAGACGAAGGTGGCATTCGTGAGGTCGTACGTGGCGGCGGCAGAGCCGCCAAAGCCGACGAGGAGGCGGCGGGCCCAGAATAAGATGCACGGCTGCGAGCCGTTTTGCACCACGAGCGGCGCATGGGAGCCGGCGGGCGCCGGCGGGGCCTTGGTCGCCGCCTGCAGGAGCTGGCGGTTGACATGCCAGTCGGCCGCGAGCTCATCCCGTCCCCAGTCGTTGCCCGTTGGCACCTGATCGAGATAAATGAATAACATTAAATAATTAAACACAGCACACTATACGCTACCACACTACACTCTACACTACGCGGGCGTTCGAAGACAGTTTTTACGGAGCCGAATGCGAGGTGCGTCGGGAGTCGGGAGGTCGGGTGGAGGGGACGGGTGTCGTCGGGGGGTTGTGCCCCCCTCTTCTGGGAACTGGAGGGAGTGGATAATTGTTCAGAGGGACGTAAGTTCAACAAGCTCGCATGTCGCGTGTATTTTATTTCCTTTGTGGTGTTTTATTACATTCCCTTTCCATTTTTCCCCCGCCCCCCCCCCCTCATATGTATGTTAAATTTCTTTCACACCATACGTAGCCAACTGTGCTAATCGGAGGTGCGGGGGGGGGGGGACGACAACAAATTCGCTAGCGGTTAGCACACTGCACTACGAACCCGGTGACCCGAGTTCGATTCCCACTCATGGCCATCACCAGTGGCAACTATCTGAACTGGTTCTGGGCCTCCTCTAGGTAGAGTCGGCCTTAAATGAGTACCTGGTGCGGTGCATAAAAACATCAGTACTGGGGAGACAAGGGGTGTGGCGTTGGCCACCCACCCCCTCGTGTGCCGTGCATGCCTTAATAGGTGCTCGCAAACAGCACTTGCCCAATCAGTATGTCAACGCTATTAGAGGAGTGGTGACGCCACGGGGAAGCCTACATCCAGCAGTGGATCGACCACGGCTGAGGATGAATAGAGGTCACTTGAAGGTATTTCAGAAGTAGCTCCATGACAGCCGCTTCCGTGGGCCGTTTGTCTCTAACACGAAGATGTGATGCGGGAACAAACCTTGGACGGCCGGCTTGCCGTGTACATGGCTGTGAAGGACTGGCCCCCTTTCTCAAGCAGTTTCATCACCTGGCCAATGATGTCATCTGTGCAAATGACAACCCACACCCGTCATTCGGCACTCAATGACTTGGTCAGCTGTTTATAAACGGCCTGGGACTTTGACCGTGCGCGCTGCGCACACACACACGGTCAAGCTATAATATCATGGCTATTACGCCCACTTGCGAACATCACATTAAGGCTTAGAATGTGCGTAACATTCCGTGTTTATTAACATGAAGCCTTATAAATACCAAATGACGCTGTGTAATAGAACACATTTAAAGTTTTCGCAAACACGTTTTACGTTAATGAGCATCTTAACCACAGATAAAATATCTATTAAAATGTCCAATTTTTGTGTTCAAGCACACCTTTACGCAAACTTTTTTTAAATACATAACACAAAATAACCATATTCGTGCTTAGATGTTGGGGGGGGGGGGGGGGGGGGTGGCGGAGCGGTTTGGGCACTGCGCTATGAACCCGGTGACCTGAGCTTGATTCCTATCCAAGGCTAACATCCGTGGCGATTGACATCTGAACCGATCCTAGATATGCCCATCACCGGATCCAGATTAACCAGCGCGGTGAAGCAACTCCCATGAACGATGCGGGAGGGGAGACCTTCGTCCAGCAGTATATAAAGCGCCGTAAATTGTCTTAATAGAATTAAATTTATAACGTGCCAGATTTTGCAGACAAGTCAATAAACTCAGAGCCAAGATCAGGGATGCTCGAAGGCCTGACCCAGACAGATAGAGGCCTTTAGATGTTTCTTGAAAGTCAGAGTGCATTTGGTATTGCGGATGTGGGAAGTGATAGAGTTCCACGTGTACTCTGAATCCGTTTCACACTGTGGCTCCATCAACCTGCTTTAAGCTCATTTACAAGATGTAGACTTGCCTCTCATGAGGACTATCGACGTTGCGGTCGATTTTGCCACAACACTGCCACACTATTCCTTATTTAATGAGTGTCCAAGCGACACGTACACAAGAGGAAGGGGCGAGGCAGACAATATTGCTCTAAAAATGCTGACTGGTGCACAAATCTGTCATTTCTGCCCCGCTGATGAATGATCTATCATTGCTGCATGGCAAAGCCAAGAATCTCTGAAAAGACTTTTGTAACGCAGCTGTAAATTTGTCTAAACATTTACAGTGGCTATAAAGGGCCCTGGTGCATTAATGCATTTAAATCTTCATCCGCAATCACCGTTGCTTACCGCATACAAAAATTGCACCGTGGTAATGGGTATGTTGTGTAATAGGCAACATTAATTTCTATCTGCCTTCATTCCAATTAACCCATGAGCTCTCTGTATTACATCACAATCGCAACACGCATACTGCGTGACGGTAGTTTAGACCCACAGGTATCTTCAAGCCATGTGTTTAATACATCACTAAATAACCCGGAATGTGCCAGATCTTGCCAGGCCACAAAAAAATAAGCAGGCTTTAGCTTGGATAGTGGTTGGATAGGCAACCACCATACTTAACAGGTCTTACAGAAGCTGCAGAGCTGCACATTGGGAAACAGAAGGCAGCGTAGCAACATTATCCGTTGTACTGTACTTCTGTACTCACGTTTTAATGATCCATACTGTCACCAACCCATACTAAGCAGCGTGGTAAGGCATGGTAAAATTACCCCCCAAGACCTGCACAGCATGGAAAAGCCGTCATCCAGCAGTGGGATGATATAGGGCTGCACAGTGACATATTTAACTTGATGGGTTTTCAATACTAGAAGGTGATTAACTTGAATCTACGCTTACGGCAAACAAAGCATGTGGGTGAAAAGTCCGCTCAAAAGGCTCACGAAGAAGACTCATCAATTTAAACGGGTTAAATAAAATTAACTGAAATTGACTTATCTTGACAAACGCTTACCGCTGTCAAGCAGAGGAGTACTGTATTGCAAGTAATTAACATCTGTGATGAGTCTTTCATTTAGAGACGTACATTGTGCATGTACAGCCCATTGTCAAGTGATGGATAAGCAAGGGCCTCCTCCGATGCTGCGAAGATCTTGGGAGTTGTTTGACCACACTTCACCATGCTGGTAATTGCAGGTTGAAGGTGGCGAGCAAAGATGTGGGAGCATGACAATACAATACAATGAATGTTGCTGCACTGCCGTCTGTTGCCCACAACGTAGCCCCGCAGCAGTCTGTAACAACCGGTGTGTGCCTGGTGGTTGCCCATCGAAGCACTATCCAGGCTCAAAACCCACTTAGCTTCTGAGATTCCAATAAGACTGGGCGCATTTTGGGTGATTTGGTTAGAGGCAAGTGATTTATAAGTACGTATTATTTTTTTCAATAATGATGAACTTCACAAATATTGATGTCAACATTAAGACTCATTCACGCGTCTATTCATACATCTTTACACCTCTAATTACGCGACTGTGTTTTATAATGAGAGGAAGTTGGACGCAGCACTTGCCATTTTTCGCCAATGCCCTTCCACGTGCCTCCTCACTTGCGCTGTGAACACAAAAATACATGCGACGTGTTGCACAAGCTCACGAGACTCATTCACTTAATTGGACTTTTTTTTAATTTAAAGCTTTCGTGACTGCAGGGATTCATATTCTTGGTTCTTTCGGTAATGTCACGTAGAAGGGAAACAATAAAATAAAAAATATATAAAACAATACAATTCTCACGACGTTTCGACTGCACCACAAGCAATCATCATCAGGTGTGAAAACCACAGCAAGAAATTTTGAAAAAAGTGGCGTTTTTTTAATGTTAGCACCACGGAGAACGATTTGACAGTTTGTTCAGATGGACGAGTCCATCTATGTTCGGAAAAGAGGAGGGGGGAGATGAAAATAACCTAAAAAAAACGCCACTTTTTTGAAATTTTCTTGCTGTGGTTTTCACACCTGATGATGATTGCTTGTGTTGGAGTCGAAACATCGTGAGAATTTTATTGTTTTATATTTTTATTATTTTATTGTTTCCCTTCTACGTGACTTTACTGAAAGAACCAAGAATATTAATTGGACTTAGCAATGGCTTGGTTATACTATACACCGACATGGGCTGGCAGATGGCCAACCTCCAATTGTGTTTTTCTCAGCTTACGCCCATTCCCTTCTACAAATGTGATTGCCAGCTCCAAACAATGTTCTATGCTATCTGTTTCTGGGAGAGTGATTCTCAATTTAAATAATCTTGTCTATCGTCTTCTGGAAGTGTAATTTTCAGTTGCAGACAATCTGTTGTGTTATCTGTTTCTGCGAGCGTGATTCTCGATTACAATCTCCTATCCCAGGGGGTCCCAAGCGTTTAGTTTGTCGTGTACCCCTACAAACATATATCCGTTTTATGTTTAAGTATACTATTGAAACATTACAACATTATAATTACATTTACACTTTATTAACTCTATTTTAAAAAAATCCTGATGTTGTATATTAATTTATTTAACTTCTATTGACCTGGTGGGTTGAGTCTTGACAGATCGTTGGGTGGTTTTAATTTGAGTAGTTATAAAGTTTAGGTTTTCTGTATTTCTACAACCATCGCGATTATAACAAACTTTTTCCAGCTGATGTTTTACATCAATATTGTTCAAGATCAATTTAACCCTTATTACCTTTATTTTATGACGCATCCAAGGTGTGATTGCATTTGGACAATATGAAAATTGCAATTGTATTGCATTGCAATCTAATATTTACACTTCAACAAGACAAAAATCATGACTGCTTCCAGTATTCTTGGCGCAAAAAAAACTTAAGATCCCCCGTATAGCCTTAAACAGACTGTTGGGACAAGTGCTGTTTACGAGCACTTATCAAGGCCAGCATAGTACATGAAGGGGTAGATGGCGAGCACCATGCCCAGCCACCTTTGTCTACCCAATGCTGATGTTTACACACTGGTCCCGGTACTCATTTAAGTCTGAGTCGACATCAGGAAGCCCCAACACTAGTTTGGGTATTTGTGAGTGGTCTTAAGCATGAGCAGGAATTGAACTCAGGTCGCCAGGTCCGTAGCGCAGTAGAAATGTTGAACTTTTTTCACACCACATGTAGCCAACCCCTGCTCTCCAACACAACAGCAACAACTGCCATTCACCACTAAAGTGGCGGTGACATCACCACAACTCTTGTGCCAGGCTATGTGCTCCCCGCACGAACGCACACACACAGACACCACACGCACACACACACACACACGTAGAATCGTCCGGGGCGATCACCTTGCTGTAGCTGGGAGACGCACGACGGTGAGCCCCGGACTGTCTCGAGTCAGGGACGCCGGCGGCACAGGGAAGTCCTTGACCTCCGTGACGGCACCGTCCGTGCGCTGGCTCAGCTTCGAGGCCAGCTCGCTGGCGGCCCGCCAGTCGACGGCGGGCAGCACGAGCGAGGATGGCGACGATTTGAGTGCCGTCTGCCCGGGGAGAAGAGCGCGGCGTCTCGCATGAGGCGAGGGTAACAAGTGTGCATGCTGCTCATTACATTTGCCAGGGAACTAACAATCCCTCACGTTAGTCCGCTGTTTGGCGAGGGCCTGCCCCACATCGTGTGGGTTGCAAGGGCTGTTTGACCACTGGACATCTTGTGAAAAGGAGTTTTTTTTTTAGCTCATTGGATTCCTCCAGTATGAATAAATATTACTGGTAGGAACCTCCTGGTTACACCACCAGCCCACAGGGGATTATTGTGTCCGTCCGTCCGTCGTGCATCCAAAAATGGGAGGGGTGGGGCTGGGTGGAGAGGGGAGGGTGGGGAGGGGCTGGATGGGGTGGGAGGGGCTGGGTGGGGAGGGGAGCGTGGGGAAAGGCAAGGTGGGGAGGGTGGGGAGGGGCTGGGTGGGGAGGGTGGGGAGGGGCTGGGTGGGGAGGGTGGGGCTGGGTGGGGGGTGGGAGGGGTGGGGCTGGGTGGGGCTGGTCACCCCGTGGTGCCCTTATAAAACTCAACGTTTAACCTACTCACGCCGGCTTGTGCCCGCCCTCACAGTCGGGCATATTTGCGGAATACACCACGTGGTGCCGCCGTTGACCCTGGCCATTGACCGAGCAACCCAACGTTCCGACCAGCTCCCTCCGCAGGAATGTGTTCTTATTCTGACCATGCGTCACCACATTGGTCAAAGAGGGGTTTGATGAAGGTGGGGAGCATGAACATGGAAGCACTAAACGCACGGTAACATTATAGATTTAGTTTCACTGCCCGCTATTGCTCATAACATGGTCCTACAGCCTAAAACAACCGGTGTTGTACGGGGTGGACACACACTAAACAGACTCAACCGCACGTAGATTCTAAAACGTGATGAGATCGGGAGTACTGCTGGTTATTTCATCATAGGTCCGATTACAATTACTGTAATTAATGAAATCCGAATAGAAATATAAGCAGTGTATTAAATTTGTTAACGGGATGTGTAAATATTGGTCGCATAAAAGTCACACAATCATGGTATTTGTTCATATTTTATTTCAACAACACCATCATCAAGGAGACGTGCAATAAATGTACTCTTTGGTAGTATGGAAATGCTATGCTCATACCTAAAGCTCCGTTTCCAATTTAGCTTAAAAGTAAAAGTAGCCTATTTTTGTACCTGTACACTTGAGAAGGCATTTTCATTCCTTTTAGCAAACGCACCAAATCTTGTGAAGTCGTCAACGCTCAGCTGAAGAAAAACCAACATGAAACATAATTTAGTTTGTGGTCAAGCTTTACAGGTAAAGTGATGGACACGGTAGGTCGCAGGCAGTATACGTGCAATGATCCAGGCGACACAGTGGCAAGACGTTAACTACCTCGCCTGGTGTATCCAGGTTGTGGGTTCGATCCCGACCCCGATGCCTGTATATTTGGAGTTTTCGTGTCTTCATCCCCATGGTCGCATGGATTTTTCTCCGGGACCTCCGGTTTTTCCCTCCCCCAATTAGAATTAACGTGCGTTTTGAATATTTATCTGCTATAAATTCCCACGTGATAAGCCACTTCGTTGAACTATCAATTGTGTATATAGCTCAGTGGGCCATAACTGGTAAAAAGAAAAAAATTATCGTTAGTTTTAAGTATCTGTAAACTCCTCTGCAAATGCCAGAGAGCTCGGGGGGGGGGGGGGGGGGGGGCGGAGGAGTTTGAGGCCTCTGGTTATGGCCACTCCAACTCATGACCCACGGATCACCTTGTCCTGAATGAAGAGCAGCAGGAGCTGACTCCGAGGCACTGGTTTGAGGAACTGCTGCTCCAGCTGTGACTCTGACACGATGTGACCCACGTGTGGTGGTGGCTCAGAGCTCCACAGCGAACTGAAACAGGAGCAGGCCGCAAACAGACAGGAAGAGTTCATTAAAATAACAAAGCAACAAGGTGTCCACGATACCGCACCCCCGATGAATTTAAAATACATTTGGGTTTCGTGTTACCCATGCGAGACTGTGTCAACAAAAGGTGGGCCCGTAGGAAAAACGACGACTTATAATTTATGATGCACCTATAGTGAGTCCAACCGAGTCGGTCGCAGACGTTGTCTTGGGAGCAACACGTTTTATTAAACTCTTAGCACAACATACTCCAGGGCTATTAACACAACATACTCTTGGGTGGTGACCATCCAACTAACCACGCTACGGCGGAGCTGGACACAGTTCCACTATCCCGGTGCTGACCACAAGCTGGGTCCTGGACCGCGTGGCTGGAGGCTTCTTCAAGCTTGACGTGGATCTCCTTCCTCTCCAACAGTAAGAACCCCGAGCCCCTCACAGGGCCCCCCTTATATTGGGCCGGGCTGAGGCTGGCTCTGCCTCTCGCTCCGCCCACCTTCTCGATCTATCTCACCCTTGCCCGAAGGCTTTCGAGAGCTCTTCTCGGACCATGTGACCACCCATTGGCCCCCTCCACCGGTGGCCGCCCTCCAGTATCATCCGGTCACATGTCCCCAGGTCAGCCAGAGTATCATGCCCCCAACGTAACCCGAGCTGGCTGAAACTGTCTCGCTCTCTCAACGGGAGCCAGCACCGCACGCTGAGCGTGGTGCCACCGTGCTTAACCAGCGCTCACCCAAGCCCCCACGAGGGCTGCTACTCCACCCCATATCCGGGGTGTTCACACAACAGTATACATCCTGCCATGGCCTCGCAGGCCCGGCACCACAGTGACATTCCCAGTCACTACGCACCCATTACTTTGCAGTCGTCTCCAAGCGCAGAAATATGATGGACGAAACGGGAAGAATGCATGCCACTGTATGCTATCAATGCTTAGGATGGGGATGGTTTAGTTTTATTTGTATGTTTTTTGGGGGGTTTGTTTGCTTTCCTGTACTTTGCACAATCATGTTTTTGTTTGTTGTTGTTGTAACGTTCTTACCTGCCCCTTCCTGGACATCTGTGAAAAAGAGCTTAATATCTCATCGGATTCCTCCAGAATAAATACATATGCTGATTCTGATTATTGGCCCGGCGGCGGTAGCTACACAGGTGGCCTGTAATCTGACCATGTTCCGTCCAGTGCCCGCTGAGATGAATTGGCTTCCAGCTGCCAAACGAATAAGTAATGAGGTCGTGCTCACTACACAAAGTGCTTTCCACAAATGAACTACAATACCTTGATGTCCTCGTCATGGAGCTTAAACCGACACGCGAACTCCGGTCACCCATGCAGCAGCAGCGGCGGCAGCGGCTTTTGGCTAGCCATCGAAGCCCACTACCAGTGCCGTAGTGGCCCTCTACGAGCACCATTACCTCGAGCAGCAACCTCCCCCGTTTACAGTGCGAGTGTATAAAGCGAGGTGCAATGATTACTTGGCAGCCTTTTAATTGGTGGAAACCCACCACCAGCGCCGTCGCTGCCCTCTACGAGTATCATCACTTACATTAACATTAGCTGCCCCGCCCATGTTGATGACACTTGGGCTACGCCCATTTTAAAACCTTTATAAACATGAGAATAGGTTTTCCCCTTTTTTTCTGGCAACAAAACAGTACCCCGGCGTCTACAAACTAAGTTGCCTCTGTGGTAGTAGCTACATTGGAGAAACCAAACGACATGTCTCGGACCGCATCCGTGAACACAAAGCAGACCTGAAACACGCTAGGACCAACACCTCGGCCGTGGCAGATCACTGTTATAATTCAGTAGGCTCACATGACATTGACTTCTCCAAGACAGAGGTTCTTTGCAAGCCACCTGGCTACCATGAGAGATTCGTTCATGAGGCTATCCACATATACAAACACAGAGACAATGTCAACCGATGGATTCTGGCTTAGCAATCATTGGAAGGATTTTATAAACCATTTCGGGTCTTAATTGATTGTTCACGCTTAAGGTGGCTTTCAGACCATTATTTTCGCCTCCCCCCTCCTATTTTCCGAACATAGATGGACTCGTCCATCTGAACAAACTGTCAAATCGCTCTCCGTGGTACTAACGTTAAAAATAACCGCCACTTTTTTCAAATTTTCTTGATGTGGTTTTCACACCTGATGATGATTGCTTGTGTTGCAGTCGAAACGTCGTGAGAATTTTATTGTTTTATATTTTTATTATTTTATTGTTTCCCTTCTACGTGACTTTACCGAAAGAACCAAGAATAACAAAACAGGTGTTAAGATGTTAAAACACCAAACTGAAACCTTTTACAAGGAATCATGTCTGCATTAACCACAATACTTGTGGTCAGAATGCAAAAAAACACACTGATAATATATGCATTGTCTTTGAAACTGATTGGTCCACACCAGAGACAGCTTTCTTTTGAGCCTCGTCTCAAACGGTGTTAGACCAGAGGACGCCAAAAGGCGTACAGCACAAAGACAATGCCACTCTCAGAGTAATGAAAGCTCGGGGTGAGCACACATGATTCCTTGTAAAAGGTTTAAGTTTGGTGTTTGAACATCTTAACACCTGTTTTGTTGCCAGAAAAAAGGGAAAACCTATTCTCACATTTTGGTACTGGCAAAGGAGGTCCCATGATGTACCTTTATAAGCAGTTTGCCTTTAGAGGCTAACCCCCTTTTCCTGATGACGACCGCTTGTGTTGCGATCGAAAGGTCGTGGTTTTTAGTTATTTTCTTTGAACCTATCTACAGTGAAACCTTGGATTGCGAGTAACTTGGTCTGCGAGTGTTTTGCAAGACGAGCAAAAATTTTAAAATAATAATTTGATAAACGAGCGATGTCTTGCAATACGAGCAGTACGTACAGTATACGCTTTGTCTGCCGAGCGTCACGTGATCACAACTGAGCCAATGGTTCTTCTCTCTCTCGCTGCGGGATTGTGGGTAATCATCTCCCATGCTCGGTCTCACTCGCATAGTCAACATCCGTGCGAGCGTATACTGTTTACTACAGTATAGTGTTGTGACCACGTGTGTGTGCGTAAAGCATTTTTTTTATTTTGTGTCCAAGTGTAGTGACTTCTTTAGTGACTGTACTGCAAGTGAAAGTCGTCCTACACAATAACCCTCCTCCTCTCCTCTCCCTCGTTTCCCTAACACCAGCCACGATTAAATGCAATTAATAAATTAGATGACTTTATATTAAATTTAAATAATACAAATATAAAAAGGTATTTTGTATTAATCATTTTTATATGAATACAGTATTTTTGGGTTGTGGAACGAATCATCTGAGTTTCCATTATTCATTTGATATACGAGTGCTTTGGATTACGAGCACGTTTCCGGAACGAATTATGCTCGCAATCCAAGGTTTCACTGTACGTGACTTTACCGAAAGACCCAAAGAACATGAATTCCTGCAGTCACGAAAGCTTAAAAGTCAAGATTTTGCGTTAATAATTTCTAATTCCATACAAGGAAGTGCAACAGTGTTATTTCCCGTGTTAAATACCCGCTGAGTTCTGTCAAGGGCGAGTAGACTCGGCCATGGATCGACCCAAGCAGGCCGAGTTGATCCACAATCTGTGCACGTTGTACTTGGACAGCCCCTCTGCCAATCCACTGCTGGATGAAGGCCTCCCGACGTCACTTGAATCGTGGCGATTAACTGGCCATGCTCCTCATTGAAGACCCCAAGCGTCGCACGTTGCTACCCTTCCTGGCTTTGACATCCCTACCGCGTAGACACCGGTGGTGTTCACAGTTCCATTGTTTCATTTATTTTGGTATAGCCCTGTGAGCCATTCGGCTCTTGAATCGGGTGCAACCGCAACAAACAAATAAAAAAAACAAAAACACGAACAAGAAAAACATCTTAAAGTGACTTTGTGTTGACTGTGCAAACAGAAAATCCAGGGAAAAAAAAAATCAAAATATTCCTGAAATAGCACCGCACACCAACGCTGATGTGCAACAATCCCAGTGGGATGCAAGTTGACCATCGGCCCGCGTTAGAGCATCAACAGGCCGCTGGTGCGCCCATCTCAAAAAGACGCAAGCGCACAAGTGGTGCGACCGGGCCAAGCAACACAAGCTAAGAACCGTATAGTCAACCACGGTCGCCTGAGGCCCTCACTCAAAGGAGTAATAGCACAACTACACGAACTCTCTCCCGAAGCCCTCTCGTCAAAATCAGACCTCCACAACGGAATGTACTGCAGCTCCTTTGGGGACGTCCATAAATGACGTCACGCGATTTTGGACGATTTTTGACCACACCCCCTCCCCCCTCGTCACAAAACGTCAGACCCCTCTCAAATATGACGTCACAAAGCTCTGCCCTCCACCCCCCCAAAATATATATATAAAACATGCTTCAAATCGCTTTAAACTATTGCCATTGTAGTGCGTATTTAATGTGGCGCTGCACTCTGATGTTGTGGGAGAAAACATTTATTAAAAAGTCTATTTAATTAAGTAGAACGTGTTGTCTATATTGATTTAAAGTTGCGCATTTTGATGTGACGTCATTTCTCAACCCACCCCTCGTCACAGATGTCTGACCCCCCACTCCCACCTAGGTGCGTGACGTCATTTATGGACGGTCCCTTAACGTATTGACGTGCGGAAGAAAATGATCGACCGTACTGAGCCACACTAGCCAGTCTGGGTTAAATGCGGGGAGCATAGACGTACAATACAATATATATTTGTGTTTTACATTGCCCTCTGGTGCCCACCACATGCTTAAGTCACGTATGTAGAAATACAATAAAATTATATGAATATAATATAATAATATTAATATAATTGTATTGCATATTTATTGTATAAAATTACATTAATATAATTTAATTGTATTTCTACATAAGTGACTTTACCGAAAAAAAAACAATGATTAATTTTATGCAGTCACGAAAGCTTTAATTACCTTATCTTGCTTAAGTTCTTAAGTACAAACCGGGCGAATGGCTCATGGGGCAGCTATAGCAACGGGCGGCAGTCACACTAAATGAAGTATTGTAAAGAAAACAGTTTAACTTCAATGATAACAACCTAACACACTCCCAGTGAGTGGTTAATGACATAAACGACAATGACATTAAAAAAAAACACTCAATCAGTGGTTAACCACCTAGGGTGCCGTGAGGGAGACGATAATCAAGCAGTGGACTGACGGTGGAACTTTTAACATTAGCAACTATATTGATTAGCACTGTACACAAAGATCACTCCCCCTCTCCCCACCCTGTAAGCCGAAACAGAACCTTGATGAGGCAAGTTCTGTTGGCGAGCGCCGGAATGGAGGCACGGCACGATGGCCCACGGGGATGTGTAGCTGGCCACCACCGCGTCCGACCGCCTTTGTCTCCCCAGCGGCGATGTTTAATATACACGCCCCATCAGGTGCTCGCGTGAGGGCCCCCCAGCACCGGTTCGGGTCAAGAGTTTCCCTCGGCGATGTCGGCTGGCCCCCAGCGGTATCGGAACCGAGGCACGGCCGGGTCCGTAGCGCTCAGTGCGCTGACGACACCCGATAATACCTCGCACAGAGCAGCAACAGCAGCAACAACACACTTAAACAAACAAACATCACTCGCCTCTCCGTCGACCACAGCAGCACGGGCACTTGGTCTACACACAGGCAGCGCTGCTGGCACAGCGCGAGGAGGCAGAGACTCAGGGCGACGTTCCGTCTCCGCACGGACGCCGATGCTGCAGTCGCAGACGACGCCATGGTTCAGTGAGGCCAGAATCGATTATGCGGAATCGTGCGTTATTAGATTATTACGCACGCGATTCGTGTAAAGTTAACCGCGCAAAACAATCGATTACTTTGGGGGGGGGGGGGGGGGCTCATTCATATATAAGCGTTTAGGATACGTATTCACAACGAATGGGATGGAATGGATTTGAAAGTGCATACGACAATAAAGATTAAGGTCGTGAATCGAACCGCGCAAGTAGGAATGACAGTGAATCGAATCTGCTCCGATGGCTACTTCCCTGCCGTCGGTCACGTGCCGCTCACGAGGTTATAGGCATCCACCGCGCTCCTATAAAGTGCCTGGTCAATTTAACCTAAGGACCCAGGTGAGTTTTCAATTAAGTTAATTTAACTAATCAAAATCTAATTCAATCAATTCCTCCTGAATACATGAAACAAAAATAGGAACTTAATAACTGTTAATTTTTACGTCAAGATATCGTACGGGTTGTTTATTTTTTCACTCGATTATTTAACCGCTATAAATTTCCATTCGTGATGGCCAGGTCGCTTCTGAAATTAAAAAAACTACGTATAGCTCAGTGGGCCTTACCTGCTAAAATAAAACGTAGTAGTTTAATTGTTCATAATAAAGGTTTTTGGGTTAGATCGCGTTTATTTATAAATGTGTCGTAACCCTCCACCACCCGACACGGCCAATCAGCAAAAAAAGTGTCACGTTGACAAAAGACAAATAATTCACTACTTTAGCCCACCGGTGTGTTGAAGAGTGAATCCACATTTACAGTTTGAGTACGACGTTTCGCTGGTAAATACATCCAGCATCATCGGGCAATTCGCCAGAATGGTAAAGCCCTCGCTTGCTCCCGGTTTATATAAATGTATATAAATATATATATTATAAATATATAAAAAAAACCGGGAGCAAGCGAGGGCTTTACCATTCTGGCGAATTGCCCGATGATGCTGGATGTATTTACCAGCGAAACGTCGTACTCAAACTGTAAATGTTGTCGATTCACTCTTCAACACACCGGTGGGCTGAAGTAGTGAATTATTTGTCTTTTGTCAACGTGACACTTTTTTTGCTGATTGGCCGTGTCGGGTGGTGGAGGGTTACGACACATTTATAAATAAACGCGATCTAACCCAAAAACCTTTATTATGAATAATATTGGTCGCGAAAGCCTACGTGTTAAACTGAGTTTAATTGTGTGCACGCTCAGGAGTTTCTTTAGTCACCTAATGTTGTGGGGGGGGGGGTAGTCAGGGTGGTTGTGGGGGGGGTCCTCGGGGTTGAGGTTAGCGCAAGGGCTGCTGGGATCTCTCTCTTCCGCCCCGTGAAGAACGTGGAGCCGCCATGGGTGAGTAGAGGCGGCGCTGGGAAAGCGCCTCGAACGCGACCTTCGCGCGGGATCGCCGCGCTCAGAACGCTTCGCCGAGACGCCCGAGAGAGTCTTGGCGACCGCGCGAGATGTTTTTTTTTGTTTAGCGAAGTAGGCGGTGAAAGGGATCCCGCGTTGGCGTTGCGTGTGTTAGCCAGGCCGCGTGGTGTGGGGGGTGGTTCTCGCTCAACATGGCTTCCACCCTCTCAGCAGGCGCGCTAGAGAGGCCGCCTCGCCGTACCGCGAGCTATCGCGATTCTAGTTCGCGTCGTCGTCGTAGTAGTTATGTCGTCTGCAGAGGGGTAGTACCACCACCACAACGTGTGTTGTGTGTACTGTGCTATGCTCCCAAACGTCTTTTCGGCGCCGCCTTCACTAGGCCCGTTCTGACCAGAGTGGTGAAGAATCCATGAGTCTTGTGTTTTTTGGGGGGGGGTTAGATCGTGTAAATATATAAATGTGTCGTTAAACCCGCCACCACCCGACATAGCCAATTAGTAAGGGTCGTCACGTAAACAGACCATGCCAAGTCGTTACTACAACCGCACACCGGTGTGTTGGAGAGCAAATCTACAACATTCGTGACTGCAGGAATTCATTTTCTTAGTCACGTAAATAGAAAAAAAGCATTAAAAAACCCATGACGTTTCGATCGCAACACAAGCGGTCTTCATCGCTTGTGTTGCGATCGAAACGTGGGTTTTTTTTGTTTTATATTTACGAGACTTTACCGAAAGAATCGAGAATATGAATCTACAACATTTACAATCCGAGTACTCAGATTGTAGACACGAATTGGCTGTCGGGTGGTGGCGGGTTTAGGGACACATTAACGCGATCTAACACAAAAAAAACCTATATTATGGATATTGGTCGCGAAAGCCGACGTGTTAAACCAGTGGTGAGGTATGGTCTTATAGCAACCCACCTCAATGGGGGGGGGGGGCTTTCATCCAGCACTTGGTTGACAAAGAGCTGTGCACTTTGATCATATTACCGACAATGTCGTGACCCAATATATTGATACTGTGGGTATATATGTTTAAGGGGTATTCGTTTCCTTTGCTAACCATGTGGCGATGCGCTCATGCACGTGGTAGGGCCGGTGCTTAAGTATAGTACACGCGTGCTGTGAATTTAGCATTTTTAACACGGGACTATTTGGAGGTAATGTGAGGATATGGCAGCCAAGAAATGGAACACGTTCTGGAGGACATCCAAAATGAAAACGGCCATTGTTAGGTATGGAGCAGCCTTTTATTATATTAACACATTCTATCGATTGCAATGAAAAAATAATGGAACGCTTCTGAGAACGTCTTGGCGAGGTGGAGCAAATAAAATCAGCTCGTGTGCAGATGCCAGGTTGATACATCGCAGAATCGTGCGAGATAGCGGCTTGGGGAGAGGCCTAACGTTTATATGTACTGCATGTTGAGCTTTTTTCGCACCGTGCGTAGCCAACCGTGCTAATCGGAGGTGCGGAGGAAGGACGACAAACTAAACACAAAGCATATTCTTAGCTCTTTCGGTAAAGTCACGTTGAAGGGAAACAATAAAATAATAAAATATATATAAAACAATAAAAATTCTCACGACGTTTCCACCATAACACAAACGGTCGTCATGAGGTGTGAAAACCTGATGTGACTTTACCGAAAGAGCTAAGAATATGAATTACTGCAGTCACGGAAGCTTTAAATCAAAATTTAAGCAAAGCAGTTCGAAAGATATTAGTTTGTCAATCTAGACTTAAAAGGGCATAGCTCCCACTGGCTTCTCCAATATCGGAAGGGGAAGAACGTTCCAGACGATCGCATCACCACCACCATAATTTACTCGTGTGTATGTTGAACTTCTTTCACACCGTACGTAGCCAACCGTGCTAATCGGAGGTGCGGAGGAAAGACAACTAACGGTGGTGGTAAAACAGCTATGGAGGTTGGGTCTTGCCATATCAACGTGGAATTCGTGCCACCAGTTGGCAAGTCGGTAGTGCTACTGGTAATAGAAGGTGGCTATGTGAAGAAAGCGAGAATTGGCTTGTGATTTTCGGTACTTTAATTGCTTGTTTATATTTGTATATTGTTTTATAATATTCGTATAATATACAAGCAATATAAATTAAATTGTAAATGGACCATATTTGGACTTGAAATAAGAGGGGTTTTGTTTCTAGAAAATGGATATGCCGGGGAAGCCCCACCCCCTTAAATTGTCATGGTGTTTTGAGGACACACTGTAGGTGAATCGTAAATAGCACTTGCCACTTCCACCCAATGCCTCGAGCTTAATGTGACCATGTGTGCGTTTTGTTCGTTGTGGCCAGGTAAGTGCCGAGGCCTGCGTACAGCCAGGAAGCTGAGGAACCTGCGCCGTGAGCAGCGCTGGTCCGACAAGAGCTACAAGAAGGCTCACCTGGGCACGGCGCTCAAGGCCAACCCGTTTGGCGGAGCCTCTCACGCCAAGGGGATCGTCCTCGAAAAGATGTACGTGATTGGGGGGGAGTGGGGGGGGGGAGTCGAGGAGCGAGCGAGGTTGAGTGGATGTCAAGCGTGCGTTTCGTGTGTTGTGCTTATGTCAGTGTGGATGTTGAACTTCTTTCGCAACCGTAACGTAGCCAAATCCCCCCCTTCGATTAGCACGGTGTTGGGTTGTAGTGGCGGGTGTGGGGAGGGGGGGGAGCACGGGCAATAACGGGAATAGTGGCCAGGAGATGGTAGGAGACGAATTAATTCTCACGCGGCACTGGTTTTCTGCCACTTGCGAACCTTCCGAATGGAATTGGCCAACATTCCAATGCAGGTTCCTCGTGAACGTCTTGGGATTTGGTGAAGCCTTTCTGCCAAAAAATATATTTGTAGCCTGCTGTTATGTATGTTGGACTTCTTTCACACCATACGGAGCCAACCATGCTATTCTTTGAGGGTGCGGTTAGGTTAATGGGAATTTTTATGTCCTGTTTTAATTTTGAGAGGGAGATGTTAAACTTGTGTCATGTCATTGTGAATACAATGGTCATATACTTGCACTTGTTACCTTAATAATGATTGGCTTTCTTTGACTTGAATTGTACTTTGAAAATGATTTTCTGCTTTCTTATATCTTTCCTTTGACAGCGGCGTTGAGGCCAAGCAGCCGAATTCCGCCATCCGCAAGTGTGTGCGTGTACAGCTCATCAAGAACGGGAAGAAGATCACCGCTTTTGTCCCCAACGATGGCTGCCTCAACTTCATTGAGGTGACCAGGCTCGGTCGATGAAACAGTTTACTGCATGTTAACAATCATGCATTCTTTACTTGAAAAATAATAATAACACTGATATGAATTAAATTCGCTCAAATGCGAGGTAAAAATTATTAATTTTGAAATATATTAAATGCATAGATAACTCCGTGAAGGGAGCTTTTTGTAACTTATGCTTATGGCCAAAACTGCTGCAACAGATTTGTATTCTGATTAAGGGTCCCTCTTTTCAGGTCTTTATCCTAGATGTAGAGCATTTTATTTCGGAAGATACAACCAAAAAGCTAAACTCTTTTCCCCCCTCCATCCCCGGAACCGTTCGCCCTCGCGCAGGAAAACGACGAGGTCCTGGTGGCCGGGTTCGGCCGAAAGGGCCACGCCGTGGGAGACATCCCCGGCGTTCGCTTCAAGGTGGTGAAGGTGGCCAAC